CTTATTCAGATCATTATCATAAGTTCATGTCTTAAGACTGGTTGGACACGCACCTCCACTGTTTCCTATCCTGAGCTAATCTAAACATATCCCTAAACCTAGAACACCCTACGTCCTTAACTATTTGCGAACAGTAATCTAATCTAGGTTTACCTCAGATCATTATCATAAGTTCATGAGTCCTAAGACTGGTTGGACACGCACCTCCACTGTTTCCTATCCTGAACTAATCTTCACATATCCCTAAATCTAGAACACCCTACGTCCTTAACTATTTGCGTTCCTCTGTTCTCTGTTTTCATATTCTTTCTAATACCTCTTCATTTTTAACTTCCTCTATCCACGGTATCCTCATCATTCGCCTGTAACACCACATTTCGAACGCTTCTAACCTTTTCTTTTCCGCAGCGCCCACCGTCCACGTTTCGCACCCGTATAGCGCCGTGCTCCAAACATACACCTTTAACAATCTCTTTCGAATTTCTAGATTAACGATTCGCGAGCATATAAGTGACTTCTAGTTATTGAAAGCGACTCGACCCTGCGCTATCTTCTGCTTTATCTCCTTACTACTCCTTCCCTAACTTATCTGACTTCTTAGATATCTAAAATCTGCCACTTCTTCTAATTATTCGTCTCCTATCTTTATATTCGCTCTTTCCTTGCATATCAGTATTACTTTCGTTTATCTTTTTACAGTACTGTTTTGTCAATACCATTTCCATTTTATTTAAAACTATCTCTAACTCCTCCTGGCTAGATGCTAATACTGCTATATCATCTGCAAATCTAAGCATACTAATGATTTACCCCTGTATATCTATTACAGTTTTACTGTCTTTAATGTATCGATGTATAGATTAAAAAGTAACGGCGACAGTGTGCATCCCTGTCTGACTCCCTTCCTAATATTTACTTCTCTACGTTGCACCCCATATAACTGCCTGTTGCTCTTTATACAAACCAAGTGTCACTCTTCTATCTCTGTAACTCATCCACCCTATTTAGATAAGAAACTAATTCTAGTCTGTCAGTCGGCATGGGTTATTATTAAGTTAGAGGCATGAAACTTGAGTATAAATAATAATTCCCAACCCTACGAGCCCTTAGAAGCATAAAAATTGTTAAAATAAGGGTCATGCTAATGTACTTATGTTGCTATTGAGGTCTTACCTTACATTGCTTAAGGATTTTTGTGTAATGTTTCTGTTTAGACGAGAATATGTGGAGTCAACATCTCGACCTTACGATGCTGCCGAGTCAGTTAACATTTGTAAAAGAATTCTTTCACCCTATAGTCCCGCTTCTTCAACATCTGCCGTAGCATCACCAGCTGCTGTAACTGATTGTCAATCGACGGAAATTTATGAAAAAATATTAAACCCTACTCCTATCGATTCTAATCAACCACGACCTTATGGGATTATTAAGTTTAAGTTACCAACTAATTATAAGAACATTTTAAAGAATGATCCTGTACCTAAGCTTAACGTAGAACCAATGCATCCATCCCATAATGTTCCTAAGTTCTCTTCTTTGACATCCTTTAATTCCGCAGTTGATCCTCCTGGTAATAATATTAATAATAGTAGAGGGTTTCTTTCTAACGAGTTACCGTATGCAACAAGTGTTATTGTCAATTCGCCTTATACACAGCGAATTTAGAATAAGTAGTTACAGTTGGGAGTTCGAGATTTAAGAGATCGAAAACGTTAGGTAGGTACGTAATTTTCCAGAAAAATGGATTTGCGTGTCCAGGGTAGAAACGATATAAAGACTGATGGAGGCTGAAAACATTTTGTAAAACTTAAATTTTTCATATTGTATTGCATTTTTATAGAAATTTGAATAAAGTATATATACATTGAATGTTTGTAAAAAACACATTAAAGCCCCAGAGGGCATTGAAGTATTACGTAAACAAAGGTCAGTGTGGAGGGATTCAATTTTTTTCTCCTTATTGGACAGAAAAAGTGGAAGGAGCCCATAAGTCTTAAGTAAGATATGATCTATAATATAATTACTTATTTCAAATCATATTGTAACTAATATTCGATTGATTAGTCAGCAATACTTACAGTAATTATAATTATTTAATTTAAAATGAGAGTAGTTTTTGATCTTGAAAATAACTTAACAGTTATATTTTAATATTGAAAAGTGTGATAACTGCTATTAATTTTGATAATGAAAAAAGATTTCATGCATTAAAGCAATGTGAATTGAAATTGTCAATTATGGTTCGGATGTCAATAAGGTACATTGTCTGTGTTTTTTGCAAACAGTGTATATAAGTAGCTATATAAAATAAACGGAGCGTGATAAATTGCCATGTGGTGCTGGATAAAGGGGGAGGGGGTAGATTTAGTAATATACAGTAAACAGTCGATAGTATGAATCGAGAAAAATAACAGTTCACATTATCTGTTTGTTCACGTTAACGAATGCTGAATTTAACTTTAATAAATATCTATAATAACGAAAATAACCTTTTTGCATACAAATATAAAATTCTAATAAATGACAGCAACAAATTTTTTTTGCATACAGACCTTTTCTCTTTAGTCTTTTAAGACACTTTGTTTCTTTTAAACGACATTTAACGTATTGATGTGTAAAAGAATTACATAGGTCATATACATATGCAGGAATAAAACATCATTCTAGCTAATGTGACTGAAGTATATAATATATACCAAATATATCTAGAATTTACAGAAGTGGCTAATAGACATTTGTTTCTATAAGCGAAGGTGTTATTTGCTCAATGTATATGTTGGTCTAGCATTAATATTAATTATAAGAGGTTTTCGTTATGCGAAGTTCACACCATCGATTGTTTACCGTACTATGTAATATGTGGTTTAAATTAGTCTTTAAACACTTAATGTACGTTATGTTCTTAGAGTAAGAAGTGATAAAGAATGAATGTTAGAAATGTTGCATAAACATTCGGTCTATGGTACACACTTTATTTTGTTGAACAAATGAATTTAAAAAAATTACTTTTGTTTATCATAGCGATCCTGTTTGAGTGTAGTATCATTAATGTCATAGTTGTAAGATTTAGATTTGATGACACAGAAACGGTCGTTTTATTAGGTAATTTGTACATTTTACTATTTTACAGGCATGATAAAGTATAGAATCGGACGTATGCTGTATAAAAGAAAGTTCTTTTCATAAAAAATGTTTTTTTTTTGCAGTTGATTATTTTTATTTTTGTTACACCGTTTGAGAATAATTGTCATACATTTGTAGAGTATTATACACATTAAAATAAAGTTTTTAGCTCTTATTTTTCTTTATTTCGTGGCAACAGTTGAAAAGGCTTTCACGTAATAAAAGAAGGTGTTTTGTAGTACATTTGCTAAAGCCAATTATTTAGTCCCTTTCTTGAAGCCATAAACCAGCAGCAAAAGGTAAAGTTTAATTCAGAATAGCTTATTCTCGGTTATATTATTAAGATGGGATTATCTGTGCTAATTTATGCTAGCAAATAAGGGCAGTAAAGGGAGCAGTGTGCAAAGTAATTCTATTAGATTGAAGCACAACAAATCAAATAACCTGACCTTTTGTATTAGAAAAATTAATTCATAGAGTTCCACTGTCAGAATTTACATTAGTAACTTAGGCTTATTTTTATAACAAAATTTTTAAGCAAGTCCTTATACGAGATCACTGGGCGTTTGTATGTTTTTCTAGATAGCAATATTGATAAATGTAGACCAAACAAGTGCCTTGCTTTTATACTTTCGTTTTGATATTAGAAGCGGTTAGGTATTGTGAATGTGAGTGGACAATGACGACTTATGAAAAACGCTTTAATCATTAAAAGAAATGCAGGAGTTTTTGGAAAGTGGCGAATTTTGGGAAGATGATTATTGTTATAATTTTGATTTGTGTTGTGGAAAGGACGACAGCAGAGGAAGTACAACATTGGGATCAAAAGTTCTATTAGATATACTTCAGTATGTTGAAAATCCTGCAAGCCACTATGTTTATTTTGATAATTTCTTCACTAGTACAGAATTGCTGTCATCACTGACAGAAATACAGTGCTACTGGAATGATACGCGAAAACCGTCATGGAGATTGACCCTTGATAAACCAAACAGCTCTGAAGACAAAAACAAGAGGTTCATATGATTTTCGTATCGTTACAATTTTTTCACTAATATTCACAAATAGTAAATAATATTAATCCAAATATTCAATTTAAATCACTACTGAATATATTTTATTGCCACATATATAATTCGCACTTGTATGAAAATAAAACACGTGTTGTGACTGTAAAAACTAAAACCATGTGGATAAATATTATAAATAAATATGAAAACAGTGATCAGAGGCGACAAGCGTACCAACATGCGCGACTAAGAGAGGTTTTATTTCTATTTCGTTGGTAGCTTTTTTCCGAGACTTAATGAATTCGGTTGAGTGGGCAACTTCATCCTGTTAATTTTGTGTTACAGTGATGCGCGCGCATCTTGAAATTTCACTCTCATCAGTTTTTCATAACGCGCCTAAAGAAGTATAACTTCAAAAATTNTTCAGACTTCTGGTCAATGAGACAAATAATATAAGCGTATTATAGAAACGGGATAAAGAGGAAATGACAACATTAACATCGTAAACGCAATAAACATTATTAATAGAACCAAAGAATCCCTCTAATTTCTACAAAACAACAGGAAAATATAATTTTAAACTTAATAGGAAGTGCCAAAATTTTTGCTAGATAAGTTAATTAATTGAAAATTGTGAATCCAATAGAGCGAGTTTTGATATAAATATCTTTTTATAGAAGAGAATTTTTAAGTGTTTAAGATAAAATTACAAACTTTTTACGAGATAAACTCAAAATCTTTGTAGAACGTCTGAATTCAATATCAAACATTCTCACAAACCTTTTAGACAAAAAGAATATTACAAGTGAAAATACTGAAAAATTTATTCTGCTATATTAGCCTGATCACATGCCTAAGTTCAATCTTTAGTTTTGATGCAAAAAGAAAACACTAAAACATACCTATACGTGAACAAAAAATATTCTGGCAGTGTCTTTTTAATACAAAATTTTCGTTGATAAGAAGCAGATATTGGTTTGTACGAGTTACTATGACGCTTAAAATATAAAATATATTATAAATAAAGACATCAATATCACAAGATCAAAAGGTATTTGAAAGTACTACATAACTAAGGTAAACATGCATTCAACTGAGAGTGTATAAAGTTAGAATCATCGATACGAAAAATCCATATCTAGAAAAAAATATCGTATATTAAAAAAAACTCAAAATTCGCAAAACATTCATGTAACTACATTTCTAAAACATCTACCACTGTGATTTTTTTAGTGATTGCTACTATTTGTTTCAATTTTTTTTGCTAGTTCAGATACAATTTCCTTGTAAATAATCGGGTCCATGTTAGTTCCTAACATAAAAAGGACCCACCAGTCTCCGATATCAATTTTTTTAGAGATTGCTTCACAAACATCTATTGGTATAGTCTTATTTTTAGCATTCATCAGTCTCGGTCTGATTTTTGGCATTATGATAATCAGTATCCTGTAGATAACAAGAAATGCCAATAATGTGGCCAGAAGCATGAACCAAAACCAGATAAAAATATAAGTTTTTTCATTAACGATATTAAGTGGTAATATGCATAAACTATCGTGTTTTTGTATGCTCCCTGAAGAACCGTATTTATGGAATATGCACTTTGTAACCCTCGGGAAGATGTAAACCATAGGGTCCACGCGTTCTTCCTGAGCCACTTCGGAGAAATTCATTACTTTCCAACCATATGCCAGAAACTCCCCGTCGAAGAACTTATTCATTAGATAAAGTTGAAATATGATGTTGATCAGGCATAGACATTCACAAGCCCAATATCTCAACGCGTATAAGTTGTGATTCTGTAAATAAAAAGACAAGATTACGTTATTAATTTGAAAGTAGGAAAACAATTAGTACAAATGTAGGATATTATTATTTTAATGTGAGCTAAAACGGAGATACCAGTTACTCTCTGTGCAGTCGTAAGATAAAAAATTATCCGGAGACCACTTGGAAATTGCGTTTTTGAACTCCCGGTCTACTAAAATGTTTTCAAATAAAACTAGTAGCGAATCTGCTTTGATGTTTTTTATAAGAAGGTTTCTTACATACATACTAACAACTGTAAATTTACTTAAAACTAGAGAACAACTGGCAAAGAGGGTGGAGTCTAATTAAAACATTCATGGTGGTGCTGGAATTTCCTGAATGTCGTTATAGACGAGAGGGTGTCGAGTGCAACCAGATACAGAACATTTCTAAGAATAAATAAGAAAGAGCTAACAATGAGCCAAGTATTAGTGACAATCAGAAAAACTTCATTTGTACTACTAGGAACTATATGAATTACTCACATACGTTTTGTCTGTGTAACAATGAGAATATTCACAAAATATCATAAAGCCAAACAATAGAAGAAAGGAATTTATGGCCTAAACAGTTTAACAAATGTTTGAAGAAATATTACAAAGTTGAAGAGAACAAAGCAACAAAGGAATTTGAAATGTAATGAAAGTAAGCAATTACACTAAATATAACTAAACGGAAATGTTTTTGAATTTAAATAATTATAGAAATACCAATATAATTAATAGCAAACACTAAACACTTTCCATTTACTTTACTGATATAGCCTCTATCGATCTTTGGACTTAGTCGTAGAATATGCTCTGTTGTTTGGGCATAAGCATACATTTCTTAGTAGGGAATTATAATGATCAGTTGATAATGCCCACGTGTGAAGTGGGCGAAACACGTGTCCGCTCATATAAAATTATTTGTGGTAATTAGGGGTGAGTATTCCTTTTAATTTTTTAATTAATATTTACCACAGTCTCCTCCTTCTATTTTTAGATATCCATCTATTTAAATGGACCTTGTTGAGCATAATGAATTCCACTAAATGTAGCATTGTACTACAGATGGCGTTTACCGCGCAACTTGTGGTATTTTATATAACGGAAGTGATCATATCCGTGCCCCCTCTCTCGTCAAATATAAAACACATTCATCTTGTGTAACGACAAAAAAACTTTCATAAGAGTATATCACTGAAATGCTAATTAAAATCCACTCTTCTAATTAAAATCGAGTCCTTTAAGTTTACTTTACGCTCCTTCGTTTACGTGACTACTACTTCTAATAATCGTTTATAATAAACACAATCATTATAACCAATGAAGAATAAAAAAGCAGCTTAGAAACAGCAGTTTCTTCATGCAGAGACCTAGCCAAAGGGGGGGATTGCCGAGGGATGCTCCCCCCCAATAAGTGCTTAGTTGGCTTTTTCAACATGTGTTACTAATGCATGAGAAACTCGAAGAGCATTCGTGTATATGGGCTGTATTAAGAATAGAAAAAGGCATAGGAAAAAATATTGGTTTTTAGTGCGGTGTTCACTGAACTCTCGCAATGGTACCAAAGATTTTTACAGTATCATCAAGAATTCAGACTTCTGGTCAATGAGACAAATAATATAAGCGTATTATAGAAACGGGATAAAGAGGAAATGACAACATTAACATCGTAAACGCAATAAACATTATTAATAGAACCAAAGAATCCCTCTAATTTCTACAAAACAACAGGAAAATATAATTTTAAACTTAATAGGAAGTGCCAAAATTTTTGCTAGATAAGTTAATTAATTGAAAATTGTGAATCCAATAGAGCGAGTTTTGATATAAATATCTTTTTATAGAAGAGAATTTTTAAGTGTTTAAGATAAAATTACAAACTTTTTACGAGATAAACTCAAAATCTTTGTAGAACGTCTGAATTCAATATCAAACATTCTCACAAACCTTTTAGACAAAAAGAATATTACAAGTGAAAATACTGAAAAATTTATTCTGCTATATTAGCCTGATCACATGCCTAAGTTCTAAGCGCTCCTTATGCAGTTAGAGAGATATTTGACATATGCTCTTCTATGCAAGGCATCATGAAACTAGCCGCTAAGTCTTCGTTTTTGTCAACTCATATTTATAGGGAGCTTTTCGATGGGTTTATGTGAAAAAAAATTTAGTTGATTTAAAATAGTTAAAAATTCGAACACGTCCAACACTAAACAGGGAGAGACTGATACCCTAACGATGATGAAAAGCGAAAAAGATCTTTGTAATGCCCTTGACCTAAACAATATGGTAAATTTATGGACGAAACTTCTTGAGGTAATCTGTAGTGGCATGAAATTAAGTTGATTTAACATTAATGTTTGATAATTACTTATTATTTATAAATACAAATTTTGTGGGTCGTGTGTGTAAAACTTTAGTTAGAAAATTAAAGTACAACAGTTGGTTAGGTTAGGTTAACTTACGTTAATTGGTTGCGTTCCCGCCCCCAACAGAATACTTCGCTAGGGACCTGATTGCAATCTGTACTGAAATGTTTGGTTGTACTACAACGACGTTGTGAAATCACGCGCAGGACCGGTTTAGGATTGTAATTTGATACAAATTTTCGGATTGTAAACTGTTACATATTTTTTGTCCTTTATCCACGTTGCTGTACTCACCATGCGATTTTATTGCATACAGTTGACATCCTCTAATGTTCCATATTTATTTTGGCACCCTGTATAATGATGAACCAGGCAGACGAACTTTCCCATAAAATTGAATTTTGTAGCCACCTTTTCTAAATTCAAACCGAACTCAATTAGTAACAATAATTTGTAAAAGCAGTTTACGTGAAGTACTCTCTATTATGGGGCTATTATGGGGTGGAAATACGAAACTGTAATTTTGAATGGCATTTAATAAACTCTGATTGACATCTAATGAATGTATGTGAACTGCTGTGCCAAATGCGATTATAAATGCTCTTGTAAATTATTTGAGAATTACCCTTTCATTAGTATTGGAACTCTAGTTTGTTCAGCTGGTTAATATTATGATAATATTATCATTTACGAATCACTAACCGCAAATGTACCGAATTATTTTATAAAAGTATAAAAATTCACCTACCATGTAATTGAATGTCACGTACTGCTTTATTGACTTTTATTAGTAACTAGCTGTCCCGGCAGACTTCGTACTGCCCCAATCGATATATGAAAGACCTAAATTTTTGTATAAAATAAACTTAGTTGACAAATGTCAAATATTATGGTTGCGTTCAGAAATTTAATTTGACAGAACTTAAGATTTATCAATCTACATAAAAATAATCTGAAAGATAGTTAACAACATTCATATTTATTCACCTTTTAAACCTTCCCTGGACTTCCACAAATAATTCAAGACCAAAATTAGCCAAATCGGTCCAGCCGTTATCGAGTTTTAGCGTGACTAACGAACAGCAATTCATTTTTATATATATAGA